AAATCAGGGGTGATCTTGAAATAAATAAAAAGGAAAATATCTCACTGAACCAAGAGAACCCGGTACCTGGCTATCGGAGAATATTTACCTGTTTAGACATTGCGAGAGTGATAGAAAATTTGTACAAAACTCATGATTAAGATGCAGCCGCTGAAGTCCAAAAGTTAGAGATTAAATATTATGTTAGAGTAGTTCCTTCTGATGAGTTCTGAACTGTTTTTGAAAATGAGGAGTTCAGCAGAAAGGCAATTAACAAGATCATAACAAAGCTCCCATAGGAAATTAACAGTCTGGAATTTATTCTGTAGCTCTTCTCTGATGGAGAAGAAACAGCTGAAAATGGGGGAAGGGATGTCTCTGTAGCCAATTAAACTTTGATGGACGTTCATGTGCACAGGTGGGCAGCAGCATCACTTTAGTCTTTTGTAATTACCCTGTGATTTGGGTCAGAACCCTTATCCAAAAAGTGGAGCAGCACTGAACAATATCATGCCACTATCTGAAATTTTATTATATATTTCCTTGTTTGCTTACTCTTCATATCAGCTCTTTTTTTGTATGTGTGAAATGCACACCTTAATTATATGTTCATTGAGTTCCCACCAATGTAAACACCTGTGTACCTTAAACGCTTGTCAAGATATGATTGCCATTACCCCAGAAGCAACTGCTGTTCTGATTTAGTAGATTAGTTTTCCCTGAGGGGGCACTTGACACAAATGGAATCAGGCATATGTAGTTTTTTCTCTAAGGCTTCCTGGACTCAGCGTGATGTCCACTTGTTAGTATCCATGTGGCACGTGTCAATAGTCTGTTCCTCTTGACTGCTGAATAGATGAGTATTCTACACCTTGGGCTGGGTTTGTTTTTGTGTTTGTCTTTTTTGGCCAGGGCTGGGTTTGAACCTGCCACCTCCAGCATATGGGGCCAGCACCCTACCCTTTTGAGCCACAGGTGCTGCCCTGTTTGTCTTTTTAGTGTCTATCTTCCTATTGAGGGACACTTAGCCATTTCAAGGTTTTGGCCAAATAAAGTTGCTAACAATGTTCTTACACCCGTCTTTGTGTGGATACACGTATTCGTTTCTATTGAGTAGAGACCTGTGAATGGAATTGCTGGGTACAGGGGAGATAAATGTTTAGCTTTATAGGAAACTGTCAGGTTTTCTTCCACCTCCACTATCAACATAGGAAGTGCTCCTTGCTGCTATTAGATGCTATCAGCAGCATCTCATTCTGGTTTTAATTTACATTTCTCTACTGACTAATGACATTGAGCACTTCACTGTTTGTATTGGCTATTTGCATATCTACCTTTGTGGAGTGACTATTGTGCCCATTTTTTTTAGTTAGATTGTCTAACCAAGTGTTGTGGCAGGTATACTCCTAGCTACTTGGGAGGCTGAGACAAGAGAACCACTTGAGCCAAGAGTTGGAGGTTGCTGTGGGCTATGACGCCATAGCACTCTACCAAGGGCGACAAACGAACACTCGGTCTCAAAAAACAAAACAAAACACAAAAAACTACTCATACATCCTAAATCAAAAATAAAAATTAAATTAAATTTAAAAATTAAAAAAAGTTTTTTTTTTCACTATCGAGTTGCAGATGTTCTTCATACAGTATGCAAATCTATTTCTATACGTACACGAGACCCTCTCTACTGCTCAGGGAGTGGGGCCCCAGTCACTCCATCTTCTTGTCTTTCTCCCCAAATGATGCCAGGAATTCTGCTTTGTTTAATACTATATTCCCAGTGCCTAGGATTTTTCCTGGCACCGAGTAGGAACTCAATAAACATTTACTAAAAGAATCAATGAACAAACAGATGAACTGACTTTGGGGCCTGATATTTAGACACAACGGTCTTTAACTTAATAGCATTTATTAACAAGGAAATCAAGGAGAAAAGCAATTTAAATTGTTATCCTGGAGCTATAAAATTCACTTGGCACGAAGGACACAGAATAGCTTCAGATGCTTTGTTCGCCTAGGGAAAATACTTGTAGAACTTCTCATGAAGTAGCCTCTTGTGTCCCCATTTATGAGCCCACTACTGCAGCCATCGCTGCTAACATGCCTCATTCTGCAGCTAGGCTCTGACCACTTCTAAGTCTGACCAAGTTTGCTTGATGGGTTATCAGGAAATCTAGCCTTGGAGGTTTTTAGGTAACTTAACCCGGTTAATTTCACCGGGTCCTCAGTGCCCCTCCTTTTGCTGCTCTGACACTGGGAATGCCTGTTCTCCGGTGGGGTGGCTGGACGTCTGCAGGAGTCGGCCTCACCAGCAGGCTCCCTGGACGTCTGCAGGAGTCGGCCTCACCAGCAGGCTCCCTGGACGTCTGCAGGAGTCGGCCTCACCAGCAGGCTCCCTCCATGGTGGGCTCTGCATTCCTTACCTCCCCTGAAGGGCCAGTGGGGGCTTCTCCTTCCCTCGAGGCTTGGAAGCCAGTTCCCGGGTCCTCAGCCAGCAGGCTCCAGCCTCTCTGGTTGTTACTGATGGTGGTGGTGGGGTGTCTACAGTGAATAATAATTGTCCACATCCATATTTGCAAAGAGTTTTGCCATTCACAGAACACGTTCACGTCCATGGTCTCATGTAAACCTCCAGACAATCCTGGCTGTAGCCCTCTTTGATTGTTTTTGTTTCCCCAGAGGTGGCAAGAAGGTAATTCGATTTGCTCCAGAATATGAATATGTGGCCTAGCGTTTTCTAAGATCCTCTGGGGTCTTGCTAAAAAAAAATATTGGTGCTTTCTTAGCTCTGGTAGATGTTCATGTGAGGTGTTTAAAAGGCTCATAGATTTTACAGTGTAGACACCTGTCTTCTGTCTGTCATTAGATATTTAATTACCACACTGCAGACATATTTGAGTAGTTCCCAGCCTTTTTAGTTTAGCCATCATTATGGGTTCCCCCCCTTCGATCACATGTTTGTTTTTTTTTTTAAAGTCCACCAAAACTGTATTTATTGTTTTTTTTTTAAATTTATTAGACATATACCTCCTGGTCACATGTCTAGAACCTTCCATTTTGATAACTGGTACATTTCCATTTCTGCTGAGCTTTTTGAAAGATTAAAAAGTTCATTCATTGACCCTTGAAAAAGTAAAAGCAATGGTTATTCAGGAGTGTTTGACCAGCAGGTGCATGCTGATTTCATAAGGACTTTTGCTTGTGGTGTCCGATATCATGAGAACTATGTACAGACTTTTTTTTTGTGCTAATCAGCTTTCCTTATTGTTTGTGTATTTACTGTGTGTTCCAAGGCAACTCTTCTTCCAGTGTGCCACAGAGAGAAAAAAAGGTTGGATGCCCTGGTGTAGTTCCTGTGAAGAAGTAGCCTCCTGTGCTCAAGGACTGAATTCTGGCCTTGTCGCTGCTGTCTGGGTGGGAGTGAGAGGGGTATTACTGATTTTAACCCTTTGCACTGTGATCTGGGCTTCCCCTGGCTCCATCGGGAGCAGGCTCCACCAAGTCTGCCCTAGTATGTCCTCAGCTGGTGGAGTATTTCAGTGTTCTCAGTTCAAGCCCATAGAACTTGGACAGAACACATATTCATAGAAGCAAACTCATTTCCCGAGCCAGTACCCAGCATGCACATTATAAAATGTCATGGAACCAGAACTGTTACATGGTATTAACAATGGTCTAATTTGAATCATATTCTCAAAGGATCATGATGGGTATTCTCTTTTTTTAATATATATTTCTCTTTTTATAGCAGCCTTTTATTTTTTATACTCATGATGTCATGATTTTGTAGGGAATAGGTTCCAGCACCGTCTGCCTCCTCTCAGCTGGTTCTCACATGTGCTAGACCGTAAGCCCATTATGCCATGAATTCACAGGGAATGGGTTCCGGCTGCTCAGGCTCCCTTCCATTAGGTCTCACAGAGTGAGCTTCTCTGGGTGGAGCAGGCTGGCGCTTCAGTTGAACCCCGATAACTTTCTCTTTGGCTGCTTTCTTTTTCTGATCATTGTCCCTCACATGTTTTAGGAAGCTATCTTGGCTCTTAGAGTGCTTAATATGCTCATTGAATATTAATCCTCTTGGCAAGAAGCTTGCCCTTAACTTGTTTATTTACAACAATGCCAACAGTATGCTGGGAACATTGTAGACTCTTCCAGTTTTTCCAGGGTAACATTTGTGGGGCATGCCTTTTAGAACAGTACCCATTCCCCTGATGTCTATAATATCACCTTTCTCATAGATTCGTATTTATGTGGCCAGAGGAACAACTCTATGTTTTCTAAAAGGCCCAGAGAACATGTCTTGGGTGCTTCTCCTCTTTCCTTTTGTGTTCATCATTTTCGTGAATTACTGGAAGATGGGCGACTCTGGCAAAAGGCTATGATCGGTATTCTACAGGCCGTGTTTCTTTCTAAATTAGTAGAATTAATAAATATTATATTGTTTGCCAATCATAGAAGAGAAGGTACAGTTGGGGAAGACTATTACTGTCATTTGTTATTGCATTATAATTTGTGTGTGTGTGTCTGTGTGTAGATAGAGGTCTCACTATTTTGCACACGTTTTTCTTGAACTCCTGGTCTCAAGGGATCCTCCTGCCTTAGCCTCCCAAAGTGCTAGGATTACAGGTGTGAGCCATCATACTTGGACCTTGCCTTGCAATTTTATTAATTATTTTGCAGATTGGGTTGCATGAACCAATGACATATTATGCACTAATTTTAAAATAATTACTCTATGGAAACATTCTTATGAATAAAATCAGTTGCAATAGAGCATAATGATTGAAGTAGGTACATATACTTATGTGTATGAAAGACATATACATGTAGCTAATGGCTCAAGGTAATGTGAAGAAATGAAAAAAAGGTATTAGGATGGAGGATCTTTATTCAAAAATCTTTTATATAAGTTTTTACCTATATCAGCTTTGAAATTAAAATGTATAAATGGATTTACATTGTTCCAGCGAAGAATGTGTGTTTTATTACTCAAATGCTGTGCTGGGTATTGTTTGGTTTCATAGGAGAACCAGCAGAAATCCACCAATGTGGTCTATCAGGCCCACCATGTGAGCAGGAATAAGAGAGGACAGGTGGTTGGAACCAGAGGCGGATTCCGAGGATGTACTGTGTGGCTAACAGGTATGCGATTAACTGAAAATTGACATGTGACAAGTCAGGTGGCTATGACCCCAGATGCAAAATACATTTTATGGAAACTGGTGTAAAATATTACATTTGGTACGTCTTTATTTTAACATTAGAAGAAGGGTGAGCACTGTCGTAGAAAGCTTGAGGGTTAGTCCTAACTCTACCATCAGTGAGAAGTAGAGTCAAAGTCTGCTCTCGAAATAGTCTGATCCAGTCAAGGAAAGTTGCTAGTTTAGTCTATTTTTTCCCCTTTGGTAGAAAAAGATGAGAAAAGTTAATTATGAAATCCCCTTTCATCTCTAAGGAACTCAGCCATTCTCATGTTCATCCCTAAACACATTACAGGCCATGGTGAATGGGGCTTGCCTAATTCGACATCAAGCATTCAGCTGTCCATCGATTTTGGATGTTTAGAGACACTTTTATTGTTTTCTGATGTTTTAACATAGTAGGGACCATTTATTTCATTTACTGCAAAACAAACAAACAAACATACGAATCTTTGCAAGAAAGAGGATTTCCATCTGGCCCGGATTGCCCCTTATATACAGAAATAATTTGTACACACTGAGGTAACCAAAGGAATCTCCCATTTATTGTGTTTTTATAGCCGTAGAATATCAAAGTTAAGGGCCAGTGACAGAATTAGAATTAGAACCCAGGACCCCCAAAACCTTATATTCTGAGTAAAATGGGGAGGACATTGTTTCTAGGAGTATGAATCTAACACATCCTGGACCCATAGACAGGACTTTTCAAGTGGATACGAGCCCAGATTCAAAAATATGTTTACCTAGGTTATAAAATCAGTTTGTATGTTACTGCTCACAAATGGTGATGTATTCTAACCTGAAAATAATTCTAAAAACTATGGCAAGTAGACACCTGCCTTGTATGTTTTCTGGCTAGTCCAAATCTTTTCCCTTTTCTGTCCAAATCACCTTCATTCTTTAAGAGACATAATTTATAGGAGAAGGCATGACTGTAGTTCAGAAATTTCCCTCCAGTTAAATGTTTGCCTTTATGAGGTGTTTACCAGTGAAAACAATTTCTGTGTTGGGACATCCTCACAAAGTTCATTTTCTCTAATGTTGTACTCACTCCCTTGAAAAGGAAAAGAGAACTCGAGAAGAGAAGAATATCTGAAGGGTATTCTTCCTCTGTCTTTTTTTACTCTTAAAAATCATTTTTTCTGGGTTCAGCGCCCATAGAACAGTGGTTAGGGCACCAGCCACATACATCGAGGGTGGCAGGTTTGAACCTGGCCTGGGCCAGCAAAACAACTGCAACAAAAAAAATAGCCAGGCATTGTGGTGGGCACCTGTAGTCCCAGCTACTTGGGAGGCTGAGGCAAGAGAATCATGTAAGCCCAAGAGTTTGAGGTTGCTATGAGCTGTGATACCATAGCACTCTACTGAGGGCAACATAGTGAGACTCTTATCTCAAAAAAAATCATTTTTTCTGGCTTGGCACTCGTAGCTCAGTGGTAGGGCGCCAGCCACATACACTAGGGCTGGTGTATTCAAACCTGGCTCGGGCCTGCTAAACAACAATGACAACTGCAATAAAAAAAGTAGCCAGGCCATGTGGTGGGCACCTGTAGTCCCAGCTACTTGGGAGGCTGAGGCAAGAGAATTGCTTAAGCCCAAGAGTTTGAGGTTGTGAGCTGTGATGGCATGGCACTCTACCTAGGGTGACATAGTGAGTCTGTCTCAAGAAAAAAAAATCATCTTTTCCTAATTTAGTTTTTATTCTGTACAAACATAGGATAGCAGCCAAGTAGACTAGAGGAAAGCACATTTTCAAATCTAGAGACTCACATTTTGAACTCAGTTCCACCTACATTAGCTGTATATCTTTGTACAAGCCAATTAACCTCACTGAGCCTCAGTTTCCTTATTTAGAAAAGGAGAATAAAGATAGTACCTGCCACCTGGAGGTGTACATAGAATTTAATAAAGCACAAATGCATTTAGCACAGGGCCTGGCCTATAGTTATTACTGCACTGTAATAAATATGCCAACAATCTAGTTAAACACACTCATTGTGATTTAGCTCTTAGTTTCTTGAGAGCTGAAGCAAAATGGAAGGAAATTTCTATTCTTTCTTTTATTTCCCAACATGAAAGAACATACTAGAGATTTAGGAGACTCATTTCCTCTACCTCAACCCACCATGAATTCTAACAAGAGTGTATCACCTAAGTTCTCGTTCAGATGCAATGGAATAACATAACTGTCAGCGGCGTTCACTATCCCGCTTCTGACACCACTTGTCAGGGTCTTGGGCCCGGCTTAGGCAGGTTCCAGGCGTGGACTGCTAAGTTCCCTTGCTCAGGAACAGTTTATCTTAGGTGCTTGAGGCCTATCTACTTTAGCTGGAGAGAGAGAGAGACAGAGTATCTTAGAGAGAGTAAAGCAGTTTCTTAGAACAGATAATTTTAGTCTTTAGCAGAGCTTGGTAATCTTCAGCAGAGGGACACCGTGCCGGCGTTCTGCAGGCAGGAGAGGAGACAGAGTCAGAGTAAGTGGATCCGTGATAGAATGCGCATGCTCCCGACTGCCTTCTCCTCCAGCCTGATATAAGGCTGAGCTCGTGCCTCTCACCACCACAGGTGTAGAGACTGCCGATTCACCACTGCTCTCATCTCGCGAGCTCTCTCATGCTTGTTAGAACTAAATCTCTCTCCATGCCCTTCTCACCAAGGTGTTCCATTACAGGTATTTCCTATAACTCCCACTCCTCCTAGCCATAGGCTATACGGGCTGCTACACATAACTATAGACAATTCCTTCAACGAGGATTTAGCAAAGATTGCGGACGCATTCTTCATGTGGCCATTTCTTCTGATGAGCCTCTGTCGAAGCCACAGGCATGACATAACTACTATAACTATGGAAACTACCCATTTGCCTTTTGTAGATCGCCCTTTCTCCCCCAAGTCTCCTTTTCTCTGTCTTTCACCCCTGCTTGTCTTTTACTCTTCCCACCTTTTCCCCCTTTCTTGTCTTCTCTATATTAACCTCCTGGCTTATTTCCCCCCCTCCCCCATCCTCCCCATCCCAGACTGTTCCTCCTCCCTGCCCAGGTGCTGTCTCACGGTGCTGGGCACTGTGGGATATTCTTCAGGTTCAGAGACCTTCATGACAAATAAGGTCTGAAGGACTGATTTTTAGGGTGCTAGTTTTCTAGGGTAGTTCAGCTACCTAAGCTACTGAGGTATTAAAAGCAAGCTATTATTTTGACACGTTGCATTTCCTTCCCTTTCTTCTTATGTCTTCTCTCATAAAGAGAAATTATAAAGTGGGTCCCAGTCATTGTGTTTTGATCCATGGTGGAAAGTGTAGTAATGATATTCTCGTACAAAGACTCTAAAATGTGGCACTTGGCAGCTCAAGGTGACTTTTTGTTTCATGATTTGGGAGTCATTTTGGAAAAATCTTGAAGCCAAAAAGACCAGCACATTTGGCTCCGTTGCCAGGGGGTTGTGCAGCAGTACTCCATCCACGAGGGAGGTGGGTGCCCCAGTCTCCAGAGGCTGTCTGTCCCCCACCACTCTGGCTGGCTGCTGCCTTTCCAGGGGATATGAGACCACTTTCACCACATCTTTTAACTTTGCCAGAGAAGCCAGAATCTGGATTTGTATGCACAACTTCCCAGTCTTGAAAACACTCAGGGTCAAAGAGAATACGCAGGACCACATGCAGCCCCCAGCTCTTCCTATTCGTGAACCCCACTTGCTTTTTTTTTTTTTTTTTTTGAGATAGCATCTCACTCTGTCACCCTGGGTAGAGTGCCATGGCATCATAACTCACAGCAACCTCAAACTCTGGGGCTCAAGGGATTCATTCTCTTGCCTCAGCCTCCTGAGTAGCTTTGACTGCAGGTGCCCACCACAATTCTGGCTATTTTTAGAGATGGGGCATTGCTCTTGCTCAGGCTCATCTTGAACTTCTGAACTTAGACAATCTACCTGCCTCAGCCTCCCAGAGTGTTAGGATTACAGGCGTGAGCCACCGTGCCCAGCCCCTCCCCCTTTCTTTGAAAGGCTATTACCCTAGTAGCAGACAAATAGTTATTCCAGAATTAGGGGGAAAAATGCAAGTACTTACCTTATAGTCAATTGTACTTTTTCCCTAGATTTCAGCAATTTAGATCTGCAGTCAACCAAATGTTTGTAATGAGTGTTTAGTTACACTTACAAGTGCCAGGGTAGTTCACAATTTGCCACCTTAAACTATTTGGGACAAAGCAAGTCTGCCTTACCTGTTCCAAACAGGTCTCTCTGGTGCTGGAAAAACAACAATCAGTTTTGCTCTGGAGGAGTACCTTGTCTCCCACGCCATCCCTTGTTACTCGCTGGATGGGGACAACGTCCGTCATGGCCTTAACAAGAACCTCGGATTCTCTCCTGGGGACAGAGAAGAAAATATCCGGCGGATTGCGGAGGTGGCTAAGCTGTTTGCTGACGCGGGTCTGGTCTGCATCACCAGCTTCATTTCTCCCTTCACAAAGGTACACAGATTTGGCATTGCGTGTGATTCCCACACACAGTGCAAGTGCCCAGACTGCTAGGGAAAAATCTGGTTAGGGTGGGCCTGGAGGGAAGTCTCCTGTGTTTCTCCCTCCCGTCGTGTGTGCTCTCATTTCCTCTGTTTATATAAAAAGGGCCCCTTCATTTCCAGATGCCAGGGCACCAGTGGACATAAGCCCTTCCATGTTCATAGTTATAAGGAACATTTGGTCAGAGTTGAAAGGGAGAAAGAGTTAAACAAGAAAAAGCCTTATACCTCTGTAATTTCAGCTGTCTGAAAAAGCATGTGCAGCTTGCTAAAGAAAAGAGCAATCCACTGCTGAAGCCTGAGATTATGTGTAAGGATGACATTGCCAAGGTGGAGTGTCACTCTTCCTTTAAAACAGGACACTTCTGGGAGCTACACATCATGTGCTGTGTGCTTTGAACATGTCCTTTAAATAAAATGAGCCCACAGTGCCAGTACTGCCATGTTAAGAGGAGCTGTTCTCTGTGAAGTTCTTGAGAACTGTGTTTACTTACCAGAGGGAAATTCCTGAACTTTCTCTCAAGGACTCTGCTGAACACAAACCCCAGTCAGTGTTGTTTGTCTCAGAGGTATCAAACACCAAAGCACACACGCTTTGTGACTAAGAATTTCACTGTGAGAGTGCTGCCAGGGTTCTTAATCATAATTGTTTTTCAGGATCGAGAGAATGCCCGCAAAATCCACGAATCGGCCAGACTGCCATTCTTTGAAATATTTGTAGATGCGCCTCTAAGCATCTGTGAAAGCAGAGACGTAAAAGGCCTCTATAAACGGGCCAGAGCTGGGGAGATTAAAGGTACGAGAACTAGCAAGTGGCAACTTTGCCAATAACTTGGGCTACTTACTGGTCCCTATTCTGTCCTCAGAAATCTGCCTGCATTTTCAAACTTGGTTTTCCAAAATTGCATACACAACTCTTTACCAAATCATAATACACATATATTCAATACCTCTATAGGCATATTAGAATGTGGGGTTTTATTTTTTTAAGAATTGTCACTTCAAGGGGAAGGGGAGGGTCGACCGAGGGAGGGTTAGTAGGGGGACCACACCTATGGAGCATATTGCAAGTACAAGTTGGATCTATCAGGTGTAGAACACAAATGTCTTAATGCTGTAATTGGATACATGAGGTGAAGGCTATGTTGATTAGTAGGATGTAAGCACTCCAATTTGTACAAATAATCAACACATTGAATCCCATAATGGCATTAATGTATTTATGATCTATGTACAAATGACTTGATAAAAAAAAAAAAGACTTGTGACTTCATTTATAAGTAATGGAGTTCAGAGAATTGAAATGGATATGTATATGGTAAGTGTGTGTGTGGGGGAATGTTTCAGAATTTTCCCTGCTTTTTATCTTCCTTTTAAAATTCTGATTGGCTATAGAAACCCTGTACTTAGCTAGCCAGATTTCACTGATAATTTGGGCCTTTCATATTGAAAATACAGCTATATATTTTCTTACCTATGGCTAGCGGTCAAGGACGGCTGTTCAGGCTCGGCACCTGTGGCTCAAGTGGCTAAGGCGACAGCCACATACACCTAAGGTGGTGGGTTTGAATCCAGCCCACGCCCGCCAAACAACAATGATGGCTGCAACCAAAAAATAGCTAGGCGTTGTGGCAGGCACCTGTAGTCCTAGCTACTTGGGAGGTGGAGGCAGGAGACTCACTTGAGCCCAGGAGTTGGAGGTTGCTGTGAGCCATGACGCCACAGCATTCTACCCAGGGCAACAGCTTGAGGGCTTTTTTCCAAAAAAAAAAAAAAAAAAAGGACGGCTGATCAACCTTTTCTGTTATAACCTGAATTCTCAGTTTAACACAGTATTCCAACATGTATTATGCTTTATTGATTAAAAAGATCATTCTGTTGGCACAGAAGTGATTTTCACCCTTCTGGCTTGCAGGATTTACAGGTATTGATTCTGATTATGAAAAACCTGAAACTCCAGAGCTTGTGCTTAAAACCAATTTGTCCTCAGTGAGTGACTGTGTCCAGCAGGTGGTGGAACTTCTGCAAGAGCAGGTGGGTGAATCGCTTGTCTTCTTCTTTTTTTTTTTTTAATTTAATAAAGTCATGAAAGACAATCTATGCTTCTTTACTGAAGCATTCTTTTTTTTCAGTTTTCATTTCAAATTGTTACCAATTTTGTGTCTCTTCAGAGCATTGTACCCCATACTGCAATCAAAGCCATCCACGAACTCTTTGTGCCAGAAAACAAACTCGACCAAGTTCGGGCTGAGGCTAAAATTCTCCCTTCATTATCAATTACGAAGGTAAGTTGAGTGCAAACTGGTCAAAGGAGAATTAGCTTAACAGCAGCCATCATAACCATTTATGGTTACTCTTAACAACAGGGAAAGTATGAGTAAGATGCATGTAATGTCTATAAAGAAAAACACATCATTTTTGTCAATTTTTTTTGTTTTTTTACCTCTCCTCCAACCAATCTCTCACCAAAGGTTGCCACAAAGAAGCTGATTAACGCCGGGTGGTGCCTGTGGCTCAGTGAGTAGGGCGCTGGCCCTGTATACCGAGGGTGGCAGGTATAAACCCAGCCTCAGCCAAACTGCAACTACAACAACAACAACAACAACAAAAAATAGCTGGGCATTGTGGCGGGTGCCTGCAGTCCCAGCTATTTGGGAGGCTGAAGCAAGAGAATCGCCTAAGCCCAAGAGCTAGAGGTTGCTGTAAGCTGTGACACCACAGCACTCTACTGAGGGCAACAAAGTAAGACTCTGTCTCTAGAAAAAAAAAAAGAAGCTGATTAATGCCATGGACAGAAGCAGACTGGGAATGTAACTTCTGAATTTGCACAGAACAGTTTTACATAGCTTTCATACCTTTGGCTGTGCTGAAGTGCAGGCATCAGGTCAGTAATTATTTGTTGGTAGCGAAGGAGGAAACAATTTGTTCAGAATGTAAGTGCTTCTTGGACAATTGAGAAAGAATTTGAAGAAAACAAAAAGCAAGCCTGCTCTAAAGTGATATGAATGCCTCAACCTTTTCTACCTGCAAATTACACTTTTCCTTCATAAAGTCCAGTCTGGGGAGAGAGTTAAACAGCTTTAGTTACATGGATTCTACTTTCAGGAACATGGAATTCTAACCCCAGCAAACTGCCCTGCACCTGGCCTTTTTATGGGTCAGTGTTGGTTGGCCTGTACAAGATGACTGCGTCTTCACTGGTACATTTTTATTATCTATTAAAATTTTGCAGGTTTTATAAGAAGAAAGGCAAGTGGGTAACCTGCTTCAGCTCATGAAGAGCCTACACTCTATTAAGTCCTGATTTGTTAATAAACAGAGCCCCCTGACTCTGTAAAATAAATTCTGAGCTCCTCAGTGCCCTAGGCAGATCAGTAAACCTGTAAAAATGCTGTATTACCATTACAGCATGTTGTGACAGTTCCAATAACAGAATGATCTACAAGCTACAGCTCAAAAACTCTGTTGATTAATTCTTTTGGTCAAAGGGATGACAGATAAGGTTTCAGTGCAATGACCCATGAGCTGTGTTTTCAAAGATGAATAGGAATTTGAGGAGGGGAGAAGAATGAGTAGAACACAAGTCCTGTGTGTGTTTAGACTATACATCGCCTGGCATTGTTGGCAAATAGGCCCTCATTGGTGGAGGCGGAAAATCCCAGCATGAGCCCCAGGGACCAGAGTTTGAAGGGTTTTCAATATCATACCAATAACTTCGGACTTTATCTTAGAGTCAGTGGTTGCCTAATTCAGTCAGATGACCAACAAGTACATCTGGTAAAAAATTACAGCCAAATCAGAAATTTTGTGACAAAAAAAGAAAGAATAAACAGTGAATTTCCAACTCAGTTTCACATTCTAGGACTAGGTAACAGCATAAAGTGTTCAAATAAATCATCCCTATTTGAAATCTTTTTCCTCCTCTTCTTTAGAAAAGGTCTAGACTTTAACCTGTCTGGCCCTTGGATCTGATCAGCATAACATGTGGGAACACTTAAAACATAAAAGATCTTGTTCTCTTCTCCCTGTCCACTGAATAGAAAGGACTGCCCTTAGGCCAGATGTCTGAAAAACGGAACTTATGGAAATGTTCACCTGCTTTTCTTGTGTTGCAGCTGGATCTACAGTGGATCCAAGTTCTGAGTGAAGGCTGGGCCACTCCCCTCAAAGGTTTTATGCGTGAGAAGGAGTACCTGCAGGCTATACACTTTGACACCCTGCTAGATGGTATGTTTTTGTTGTGGCTATTTCTTACGCTGTATGATTAAAGGAAAAAAAAATCTTTCCCACAGAAATTTGACGGGAAGAAGAAATGATAGTTTTTGCTTTGTAAACCTTGTTGCAAAAAATATTTAGATTATTTACGGCACACCCCATCCTATCATTCTATCATGTGTAAGCTCCAATTTTTAGGATAGTTCGGTTGTTTTCGAAGGATTGTTATGTAAAATTAAGGAACTGAAAAAAGAGGGTTTTAAGGCCCAAAGAGGGGCAAGTCTGTTTCACTTTCACCTGCTCTTTGCTGGTCCTGTTATTTAAGAGCCCTTCTGCTCTCAGTTCTGCACCATCCTGGCGCAGCCACGATGAGCTCGGAACATGCTGCGGAGCCAGGCGTCTTCAAACTATGGCTCTCGGGCCACGTGTAGTGGCCCGAGGACATTTATCTGGCCCGCTGGGTGTTTTTGCTGCTGCTGCCTGTCCTGCTTAGCAGCCGACTTGTCCCGGGCCCACAGTCCAGCCCTCCAATGGTCTGAGGGACAGTGAACTGGCCCCCTGCTGAAAAAGCTTGAGGACCCCTGTGTGCAGCCCACCTCCACCCTCCAGGCTGCCGCTCTCAAGCATGAGTGCAGCAGCTTTCCTGGGTGGAAGCTGTAGTGCTGATGTTCCTGCGCATAGATGAATTGCATTAGGATGCTTTCATCCACTAAACTAACGAGGGAGCGTTTAGGAAACTTTCCGGCCCAGGCTGAGTGGCTTTTAGAAAACTGATCTGCGTGTATTACTCAGAAGACTTCCAGACCCTTCTGTGATAATTTCCTTCCTAGAACTGTCTGAGCTTATCAAATAGAGCTTATCTATTTCAAGAGCTTGGGAAATGGCTGCTAAGTGGGGAGAAGGTTGGCATAGAATCACACTGAACCTGTAATACTGAGCAGGGTGCTAAAGCTTTTAGGAAGAAAAATCAAATAAGACGTTCTTTCTTGGGAAAGATGTTCACCTTCTGGGTTTGTGTCCCTGCCGGGGAAATGGGACAGAAGGCTATAATCAGCGCTCAAAGGCTGCTCAGAACAAGCCCTCCTCCCTTATTCCGGAGCTGTAAGTGACAATGCTCTGGAACTTGAATCCTTTATTTTTCAGATTCAAGATCATAACATCCCAGAAGGATATTTGCTTTACTTATAGCTTGGCTTAACTAGAGTAATGATGCATATCTCTACTGCACTTCTGTTTTCAAAGCATTTCCTCAGATCTTATTTCATTTGACCCTCATAAAGTCTAAGAAAACAGGTAACTGTTATTATCCCACTTTACAAATGGGGAAACGAACCTCAGGTTAAGTGGTTTTCTGAATCCCCAGACCAGAGTCCACAATCTCCTGAGTCCTGGCCACTGCTTTTCCCTACCAGACTGCTTTCCCGGTATTGTTTCCAATAGAATCTAGAAGGCCCACGTGGTATACAAGGAAGGCTGGCATTTATCTTGATGTCTTCATTAGACTCATGCTGAAGACAGATTTGTCACATAATGTCACTGGACTCAGCAGCCAGCCACAAACAAGAGGTTGATTATGAGCATGCGAACCAGAGGTGTGGCTAATAGACCAGTGAAGCTCATTGAATGAGGGGAACACACTACATACAGTGCCATTGACCTTTGACAAATATTTGTTCTATAAAGAAAAATATCAGGGTGTTGGAAGTGGTTGCAGAGGTCAATGTTCATGGAAATCAAGGATCCTTAGCCTGGGATCTAGGGGTTCAATGTAAGTTAACAAAACATCCTAAAATAGACAAAATGGTTTGTGGTCTAAGAAGGGAAGGAGGGAGCATTTTCCTCAGTTAAGAGATTATGACTTGGATGGCTTCTGTTTTTTTAAGAGCCAAGGGCTCACTTTTCCCCACGCTGGAGTGTACTAACATGATCTCAGCTCACTATACCCCCAAATACCGGGGCTCCAGTGATCATCCCTCCTCAGCCTCCTGAATAACTGGGACTACAGGTTTGCCTCACCGCACATGGTTAATTAAAAAAAAAAATCGTAGAAATAGGGCCTTGCTATGTTGCTGAAACTGCTCTCAAAATCTTGGGCCTCTAGTGATCCTCCCACCTCAGTCTCTCAAAGGGCTGGGATTATAAGTATGAGCCACCGTGCCCAGCCTCAGTGGATTCTTAAAACAGTTTATGATCCATACAGATGAGGAACAGCTAATGCAGATAATCCATGTGGATAACTTGGGAAAAAATCTCTTTCTTTTCTGTTCACATCATCTGAATTTCATTTTATGGTTTTTTTTTTTTTTGAACTTGCAAAAACACATCACTTTTCTATTTCTTATTTGGTGCTCGCTACCATGGGTGGATGAAGTGCTTACCGTTGTTCCCACTTCCCTTGTGGTGCAGATCTCTCCCTGCCCCTCAACCCCACCAACCTTACCAGTCCAGGGAGATGAATGAGGTCACTTTCCCATTAATACTTGAATCCCACTAGTGCCATCTCCTACCTGCTCATGCAGAAATCCCCGTTCTTTCCAAAACCTACACTCCAGTGTTTGCAGGAGTCCCCCAGGTGTGTGTTTCCTGGGCTCTCAAGTGGGGCCCACAGCCATGTGCCACCTGCTGCCTGGGTTCATGTGGCTCTCTGAACCCACAGATGTGTAGATCCTGCCCACACACTCCAGCCACTAATGTTCTTGGTACCCATAGGGGTGTGGCAGCTTATGAGCTTTTTCTATTAATCTCCCTCAAAGACTGTCAGGGGTTACTTGAGTCACACAGTATTAGAGAATTGAGTTAGACAACTCTTGTAATCCCTATGGAGCCTAGTATCTTCCTGTGACCCCAGTGTGGTCATGTCAAGGTAGGGGGTGTTCAAGACCAAATATGCTATTTCCATAATCCCTCCTCTTCCAACCGGAAGGACTGGTTTATGAAACTTTCTGTAAGACTCTTTTTCCCCTATGAGAATTCTCCTCTGGCTCCACCATCTCTCTTGGCAACCAGACAATTGGACATACTCATGCAGCCTCAGTCACAGTCAAGAGTCAGAGTTCTGCATGCCCTTCCGAAGCCACCTCAGCTCTTATGTAAATCATTTAATAAAAATAGACAGCAGGGATGTCATGCTGCCCACCTCCCCCACATTCTCTACCTCAGTTTAGCTTTAGCCTCTGTAGAGGCAGATTATCCTGGTGGATTAGAGTGTGAACTGCAGAGTCAAACTGTCTAGTTTGGTGCATATGTGATTACCTAGGAACCTGGGTCATGTTACTTTCTGGGCTCAGTTTCTTTATCTGTGTAACTGGGACAGCAACAGCTGTCACCAGGGTGCTGAATGTTTAAGTCAATAGTAAATGCTCGATACATGTCAGTTATTATGAACAACCCTCTACCGCATACAACTGAAAGAACATGGAGTCTTGCCAGGTGTGGTTACGTACCTGAAGTTCCAGCTACTTGGGAGGCTGAGGCAGGAGATTGCTGAGCCCAGGAGTTTGTGGTTGCTGTGAGCTATGATGCACCACTGAACTCCAGGTTGGGTGGCAGAGTGAGACTCTGCCTCTATTCAAGAAAAGGAAGAAGAGGAGGAAAGACACAGCATCCTTAGAAAGGCTTGGGTTAGAGGTGCTCCCCACATACTATGAGCATGCATTGACCACCAACTGTGTTCTGACACTGTCGTTTAATATTAGTTATCACATTTCACCTGGATAATACCTCGGTGAAAATATTTTGTCTATATGTTGAAATAAGTATTGGAAAAGTTAAATAATTTACTTGAAACCTGGACTCACATCCAGGTCATCTTGACCCTATTATTTGTGTTTGTTCTACTTGGCACACTTTTATGTCCTCTAAACATCGGGGTCACCGGGACATTCTAGGGCAGTTTGCTTTTATACCTTCCCCCAGAGCCTGGTTGGGAAACCATTTGATAGGCAATCCAATAGCCCATATTTGCAAGAAACAACTTCTTGCTGAAATTAGAGGGGCTACTGACATAGGTTATAGTTATTTTAAAACATAATCATTTGAACCAAGCTTTTGGATTGTATTGAACAATATTCAGTACAAATTCTGATTTCATTAGCTTCTTGCTGTCATATATCCTCTGTCTTTAAAAATAGCATAACAAAAAGCTCAGTATATTTGTATGTTGTACGTGTGAAGTGTCACAATAGGATTTTTTCCTTTGAGATTGTTGTTTTAAGATTATTTTGGTAGCAAGCTGGAAACATGTCTTAATTGTGTTTGTATTTTTCTAGGCACGGTCCATGCTGGTATGTACTTTAACTTTCCAAGTAGTTAAGTTATTATAATTAAACATGTTAATTAATTTGAATGGTTAAGAACATAAATAAAAAAAAATTCTCATTAACCACTTGGAATCACTATCAGCTCATGATCCAACCAGTTATATAAGAACTACATTCTTCTGATGATTAGACTAGACGGAACAGGAAATTTCTGGATCAGATGCAGCTGTTGTTTATAATGTTATATTTGGCTGACAAAAGTAAACTTGTTTCTAAATTTTTGTCCTACATTTTGATCTTGAGTCTTTCAGATTTGTGATCCTCTCTCAATGACTGTTGGTCCTCCTTTAGTTTCACAAATCTGGAATATTTTCTTCCACTGCATTTATGAAAGATTTTTAATTGATGAAGAACGAATCCATTTTAGATGCAATTTAAAGTAGATGCACCTGGTTGGATTATGTATGATTGTATTTCATTTGTTTGCAATGTGTGATTATGCATGAATTCAATTTTAAGCTACTGTGATTGACACAGAACTGAGAATAAATATAACTTTGCTATGACTATAAACTTCTGCATTGCCCTAGAATGAAAAGGTAAAAGTCTAAAGATATCATTTACCTTGGGTATTGTTTTCATCATTGTTTTTCCTTTTAAAAAGCCTAGCTGAACCATAAAGAATAATTTAGTTTTTGCATAGAAACAGTCCCAAACAATCAATACACAGGTCTGTATGGCTAAGCCAGATGGCTTGAAAATTTTTTAAAGCAAAAGAAAGAACATTCAATTGAACAAGAAGTTATCTGTTGGACTTACCATGGTTAATAAAAACCACAATATTCTCTTTGAAGTGAGATACTCCACAACAAAATAATCAAGGTAGTTCCTACCAGAGCTGAAGCACATGAGGGAAGAGTTGAAAGCCGTGGACGATGCTTCTGCTGGATAAATTGATGGATTAGCAAAGTTGATAAAGATGATGGGGGAAAGAACAGCAAATCTGTTTATACCCTAGGAGATCAGTTGGCATTATTACTGGCACAACTTCTCTCCATCACATCCCTCGGATTAGCTCCCTTATCGTGGGGCCTGCTAGGGAGCACTGTTCAGTCATTATGGGTTTCTATTCAAGAGCAAGATGAAGGTGGATCAGAGGCTACATTGGACAGGAGGCCACTGCGACAGGCAAGTGAAGTGCCCCTTGGATGTCAACCCAGAATCCTGGTGCAAGACAAAGTTGCAGGCAGGCCTAGGCATCCTCCAGCACCCTGCTCCATATTTAACTTTTGCATTTGCTTTACTTTATTGGGTCAAGTCAGTCTTTATAAGTGAGGAGAATACTATGTTCTTTGTTTCCATAGCATAGTCAGTAAGCAATCTATAGAAAGCATAACTGCTAATCAAAACATCCGCATCCTTGAGTGTACTATTCTTTGCCAGTCTCTCTCCTGTTACCTCACCTAGGCTAGGTGGAAGATTTAATTATCTTTCATCATAAATTCCCATTAACATAGTGCTTTATGGTACACCCCTTGCAGCAACCCAAAGAGATATGCATTATGTATTATTCTATTTTTCCAGCTAGGAAACTGAATTCAAAGAAGTTGAATGATAAAACATAGTGGGAGAACGCCTGACTCTGAATTCAGTGTTATCTGCAAAGTACTTCGCTGCTGTAATATCCCAGGAACTTTGAAACAGTCGTGTGAACAACAAACCATTACTTTCTGTGTACAGGAAATAACTATGGCTTGATAAAGCATCCTAAAGCCTATCACAGAATTTTATGATAAACGGGATTTCTTTACTGCTGGCAGTTGCAGTCTATAGCCTGTTGGACATTCCTTAGGTTTTAGTATCTTTTGGAAAGTGTTAAAAGGACCAAAGTGATATGCCTGAGAAGTTTGGTTTCCTAGTGACTAGGGGAAGTGTTACACCCCAAAGGAACAGAATTCACATCTTTAACTCCATCAGAGGTATTCCAAATGTTGGATTTGAAAGTTAGGTTTCAACAACCTGATTCATCTATGGCATATTTTCTCAAATCCATCAATAACTGCCTTCGTTTTCTGTGGAGCTGAATGTTTTTTTAATTCATCTTCCTTTCATTCCCTTCTGAATCTTGAACTTGGGAGGACTCACTTTTCCTCCTTTTCTCACCTGTAAGTACAATTGACAGACTGGCATATTTGTTGGGGCATCATTACAAAAGAGGGAACAGTTTTGCGATTTTTTGATGTTATCTAGGATTATTAATACATGGGGTGTTTTTAAAAGGGCCAAGTTCTATCCTTTTAAAAAACAGTTAAGTCTTTTAACCATTTTATCTAGAAACGTTTAAAAATATTTTTTAGTAAAAAGACTTATTCACTAAAAAAAAAAAAAAAAGAATATATTAACATAAAGAAACTCTAAAAAAATGACTGTCATTAGTTTTACCAGTTACTAAGCTGGACTCTAATATAATGGTCCCCTGAGGATTGGGATACCTGTGTGGATTGGCGGCTTCCCACACTAGAGAATCCCCTGGACTTTATATTTTTAGTTTCTGTATTAGTCAGGGTCCTTCAGAAAAACAGAACCAACAGATACAGAGAGAGAGAGAAGAGAAAGAGAGAGAGAGAGATGGAGTGGGGAGAGTGAGAGACAGAGAGGGAGAGAAGGACAAAAAGAGAGAGAAATTAATTTTTTAAAAACTAGCTCATCGGCTCGGCGCCTATAGCTCAACCAGCTAAGGCGCCAGCCACGTACACCTAAGGTGGCAGGTTCGAATCCCCAGCCTGGACCCGCCAAACAACAATGACAGCTGCAACCAAAAAATAGCCGGGCATTGTGGCGGGCGCCTGTGGTCCCAGCTACTTGGGAGGCGGAGGCAAGAGACTCGCTTGAGCCCAGGAGTTGAAGGTTGCTGTGAGCTGTAATGCCACGGCACTCTATCCAGGGGGACAGCTTGAGGCTCTGTCTCAAAAAAAAAACCAAAGAAAACTAGCTCATCTGGCAGGCTGGAGACCCAGAAAACAGTTGCTGTTCACATCCAAAGGCTGTCTGCTAGGTGAATTCCCTCTTCCTCTGGGGAGGAAGTCTTTTTCTATTTAGACCTTCACCTGATTGGATGAGACGCACCACCATTATGGAGGGTAATCTGCTTCCCTTAAAGGATCCTAGTTGAAATGTTAAGGCTGTCTAAAAAAGTACCTCCCCAGAAACATCGAGAATAATGTTAAACCAAAAACCTGGGTACCATGGCCCCACCAAGTTAACATGTAAAATTAACCATCAGAGTCTCTATGTCTTTTTTAAAAATTGTTTTTCTTTCTCTCCCTTATTTGTTGCTGAACACGTAGCTTCTCTGAACACCACACTCCGTACCTTGCAATCTGTTGTGCTGTACACTGAGAACTCAGATCACCCAGTTTACATAGATTTCTTTTAAAGTCAGAGTCTCAGCGTTATGTTGAGTGGGTCTCACTCTCCCAATAAAGTGCGTGTTAATAAGTGGCTTTACATCATTGTTCATGCCTCTCTCTCTTTTTTTGGACAGAGTCTCACTTTGTCACCCTGGGTAGAGTGCTAGGGTGTCATAGCTCACAGCAACTTCAAGCGAGCCCTCAAACTGGGCTCAAGCAATCCTCTTGCCTCCACCTCCCAAGTTGCTAGGACTACAGGTACCACCACAACATCCAGCTATTTTTTAGAGATAGTGTCTTGCTCTGGCTCAGGCTGGTGTCAAACTCCTGAGCTCAGGCAATCCACCTGCCTCAGTCTCCCAGAGTGCTAGGATTACAGGCGTGAGCCACTGTGCCCAGCCCTTCCTCTATATTTTTTAACTGTTGGTTCTTAACTGCAGTTGAACTAGCAAGACTTGAGATTCCCAGGTAAGTGAGGTTATGAGTCTCTCAAAATATTTAAAGGTGATGCTGTGCCTTGACCACAATGAACAGTATCAGGAGGATCCCTTGTTTGGGGTCCTGTGGAATCATGTTAACTGTCTGACTTTTTTCCTTTCTTCTTAATTCAGTGTGTTGGTAGTGCAGATGGAGCCTAAACAGAAAATAAAATAAGGGACTCGCCTGTCATTTAACAAATTTCATTTCTAATAGGTTTTTGTTTTGCCAGTGTTAGTTTTGTTTAAATGGAGCTTTAAAGACTTTGAGCTCCCTGATGCATTGAGGTCAGGATTAAGCTTTAAAAAGGGAACTCAGAAGGGAAATATCCCCTCTTTGTCCTCAAACTTAAATCACTGGCTGAGCCCACCTCTGTGATTTGAAACTCTGCCCACTTTTACACATGCTCCGTCTCCTGCTTTGGGAAGCCCTTTGAGGGCGTCTCACAGACTCTAGTGAAACGGGTGCACTATTATACTGGTGCAGCCAATACAACCAAATTGGACTGGGCTCTCAATGGCTTTTGAAGGAAAGTTTGGAAGGGGCTTCCTGCACACTTGGGTCATCCTTCAAGGATGACACACCTTTACCGGTATTCACGCATCACCTTGGCTCTTTCCACAGATGGAGTGATCAACATGAGCGTCCCCATCGTCCTGCCCGTCTCCGAGGATGATAAGGCACGGCTGGAAGGGTGCAGTGAGTTTGTCCTGACATACGGTGGACGGAGGGTGGCTCTCTTACGAGATCCTGAATTCTATGAACATAGAAAAGAGGAGCGTTGCTGCCGGGTGTGGGGGACGACATGCACAAAACTCCCCCACGTCAAAGTAAGTCACAGAACCTTGGGAAGGGTTTTCATAATCCATTTTAGCTTAGGACAAACACAATTCTTTTTTTTTCTAATTAAAAAGCTGTGTACATTAATGTAATCATGGGGTACAATGTGCTGGTTTTATATACAATTTGAAATATTTTCAGCAAACTGGTCAACATAGCCTTCACGGCATTTTCTTAGCTATTGTGTTAAGACGTTTATATTCTACACCTAGGAAATTTCACAGGTACCCTTATAAGATGTACCATAGGTGTGGTCCCACCAATTACTCTCCCTCCAACCATCTTCCCCCCTCCCCTCCCCTCCCTCTCCCCTTTCCCCTTCTTCCTGGACTATAATTGGGTTATAGCTTTCATAAGAAAGCTATAAATTGGTTTCATGGTTAAGACTGAGTACATTGGATACAATTCTTTTTAATTCCTTCTCAAGGGGCTAAGAAAAACTAGAGTTAGATGTAAGAATGTATTTCTGAGGCTCGGTTTGGAGGCTTTTTGTCTTGGGAGAGAGATCTTTCCAGACAGGAGCAAAGAAACATGTTTGAGGTCTGGTCTCAATGATCTCTAAGGTCCTCAGATCCTGTGATGGCTGGCCTCTTCTGCTAAATGGGTCCAGGAAGGTAATTAATCTACAGTCAAAAGTAGAGGAATAAAATCATAGCTGCTATCTATGCACAAAACCGCAGCCAGACCTTGTAGCCCTGTCTGTTTTAAAAATGCACAAGGGAAATAAATACCTTCATACAGGCTGCGCCCAACCGACTACTGGAACAAGAATGCCAAGTTCATGTTCTATGGTCAGTGAGAAGTCAATGACATCCTGTCAGTAAACAAAAGTTAGCACAGACATTAGCAGACTTTCCAGAGGGAAGACATCACATTTTGTCTCTGGATTTTTTTTTGAAACAGAGACAGCGTCTTGCTCTGTCATCTGAGCTAGAGAGCCGTGGCCTCAGCCTAGCTCATAGCAACCTCCAACTCCTGGGTGCACGGATCTTCCTGCCTCAGATGCCAGCTGATGGCTGGCTAGTGTTTCTATTTTTAGTGGAGATGGAGGTCTTGCTTTTTTCAGAGTGGCCTGAAATTCCTGAGCTTTAGTGGTCCTATCACCTCTGCCTCCCAGAGTGTTAGGATAACAGGCATGAGCCACCCCAATCGGCCTGTCAGTGGATATTTTTCAGATTGAAAATATGTATTCATCTGATTAGGATCATGTAAGGTCTATCATACCTAGAGGCAAAATAGACTAAAACTCAGATTCCTTCACAGCATCTGATTGCTGCTGGTGATGAGGTAGGAGAAGCATTATAGAGTTGCTGGATGTGGTTCATTTCCCATAAAGAAAACACATGAAATTAAAAGCAAAAATCAATCCTCATCCGAGATAAGAACATTAGGGTGGATATTCTACTAGTAGCCATATCCTACCAATTTGACTTCTCCAAATTCCCCAGCTGAGGAATAGAGACTGACTTCCAGCAGATTCAGAGGAATAGAGACCAACTTGGGGCACTGGAGACGCTCAAAATCCTTGTGATCGGACAAGGTGCATCCTGTCCTGGGCCTCACTTTCTTCATTTACAAAAGGAGGGGACTGGAATCAAAATAATTCTGTCTCTTTTACACCAAGGACCCTGCAAGAAAGATAACTTGTTTGGATCTGTTTTTTGTTTTGTTTTTGTTTTTGTTGTGAAATATGGCTTGCAGGATAAGCCTTTTCAAGGTCTCTGTGTGGGGCGCCTCTGAAGACCTTCTTCATCTAAATTCAAAAGGTCAGTGGAAAGCAAAGCAGCCTTTTCATTCATTAGACTCAACAGTTCATCCTGCAGATAAGCATCTTTCATCTCAAGGCACATTCAGATCAAGTCCCGTGAGCGGTTTTTCTCACAAAAGCTGGCAGTCATGTCCTACGACTTAGTTATGTCTCTGATTATTTTTTCCTAGTCCTAATCTTACAGGTTTGGGATCTTATCTTTACTCAGTGATTCAAAGAATAGCGGTCATTCTCATTACACCAGCTCTGGTATTTCCACTCCACAAACGCATAACTAGCACAAAACAAAACAATGACGAACCTTGTGCACTTTGCTTTATTGTGCTTCATAGATACTGCATATTTTATAAACTGAAGGTTTGCGTCGACCAATCCTATTGGCATCAGTTTTTTCCAACAACATGTGCTCACTCCGTGTCTGTGTCCCATTTTGGTAATTCTTACACTATTTTAGACTTTTCCATCATTATTATATTTGTTACGGTGATCTGTGATCCGTGATATTTGATAGCACTATTGTAATGGCCCATTTGAGTAGCCAAGAACTATACCCTATAAAAAGGCAAACTGAACTGGGAAATGTTTTGTGTGTTCTGACCTCCCTACCAACTGGCTATTTCTCGGACTCTCTCTCCCTCTCCCCGGGTCTCCCTATCCCCCAAGATGCAGCAATGTCAAAATTAGGCTAATTAATAACAGTATAATGGCTGCTAAATATTCAAGTGCAAGGAAGAGTCCTACTTCTCTCATTTTAAATCAAAAGCTAGATATGATTGAGCTCAGTGAGGGAGGCATGTCATGTCAAAAGCTGAGATAAGATAAATGCTCTGCCTCTGGTGCCAAACAGCCAAGCTGTGAAAGCAGAGGAGAAGTTCTTGAAGGAAATTAGAAGTGCTACTCCAGGGAAGTAGCAAAACAGCCTTCTTGCTGATGTAAGGGTCCTGGGCAAACTTCCATTTGCCCTCTGAAGCTTCTCTGAAAAATCAACTGACCAAAGACAGATTGGTAAGAGAAAAGGCATATAAATTTATTACTATGCATGGAGGAAAAAAAAATCACAACATGATGACCCTTGATCGCTGTACAGAAAGTTATATGTAACCTTGAGGTTACAGAAAGAATGTCAGCTCAGAGTGTGGCCAAAACCAGATTATAGCAGGAAAACGGGTTATGGGACAAGACAAGTTATGGGAGGGAGAGAAGAGGAAGTCTGGCTAGCAAAGGTGGTTGTGTTATGGAGATGGAACCTCAGAGATAAATGTTTCAGACCTTTGAAGTTGTCAGACTCTCAATTAATCTTTCCCAGGTCAGACAAGGAAAGACTCTCAGAGAAAGCCTGGGTGCCTCAATGCAGATTTTCTCTACATATGCAAATATCCACCCCCCAAAGACAGCTTTTTAGCTATTTTTGTATTTCCAGCCCTTATGAATAGCCATCTTGGAAACATATTTCCTCTGTGCCAAGGAAATATATTTGGGGGTGAAATATTTCAGTTTTCTTCACTGATAGGGACAAAGTTTTAGAAGTCGGAATAGAAGATTCACATAGCCACAACCTTTCCATATGCCAAAGTGTACTCCAGAGCAAGGCCCTAACTCTCTTCAATTCTATGAAGGCTGAGAGAGGTGAAGAAGCTGCAGAAGAAAAGTCTGAAGCTAGCGGAGGCTGGTTCAGGGCTTAAGGAAAGAAACTGTCTCCATAACATAAAAGCATGAGACGAAGCAGCAAGTGCTGATGATCCAGAAGATCTAGCTCAGATAGCGGATGAAGGTGGCTACACTAAACGACAGATGGTACAACGGGGGAAAGACGGCCTTCCGTCGGAAGAAGATGCCATCTTCTCATAGCTAGAGAAGAGGAGTCAATGCCTGGCTTCAGAGCATCAAAGGATAAGCTGACTCTCTTGCTGGGGCTAAGACAGCTGGTGACTTCAATTTGAAGCTAATCATCATTGACCATTTCAGAAAACTCTAGGGCCCATAAGAATTTTGCTAAATCTAAACCAGCCTGTGTTCTATAAATGTAATAACAGAGCCTGGCTGGTTTACTAAATATTTTAAGACACTGTTGAGTGGTCTGTTCAGGAAAAGATGATTCCTTTCAACATATTACTGTTTATTTACAATGTACCTAGTCACCTGAGAGCTCTGATGGAGATGTATAAGGAAATTAGTGTTGCGTTCATGCCTGCAAATAGAATATCCATTCTGCCCATGGATGGAGGAGTGATTTCAACTTTCACACCTCATTATTGAAGAAATATATTTTGTAAGGCTGTATCTGCCACAGACAGTGATTCCTCTGATGGCTCTAGGCAAAGTAAGTTGAAAACCTTCTGGAAAGGATTCACTATTCCAGATCCATTAAGAACCTTCATGATTTATAGGAGGAGGGTCAAAATATCAACATTAACAGGAGTTTGGAAGACACTGATTACACCCCTCTTGGAGAACTTTGAAGCGTTCAGGACTTCAGTGGAGGAAGTAACTGCAGACATTTTAGAAATAGCAAGAAGACTAGAAGTGGAGCCTGAAAATGAATTTCTACAATCAGTTTTAAACAAACAAGGAGTTGATCCTTACAGATAAGCAAAGAATGTGGTTTCTAGAATCTACTCCCAGTCAAGATGCTGTGAACATTGTTAAAATAACAACAAAGGTGGCTGTGCACCCATAGCACAGTGGTTACGGTGCTGGCCACATATACCGAGGCTGGCAGTTTGAACCCAGCCCAGGCCGCTATGCAACAATGACAACTGCAACAGAAAAATAGCGGGACATGTGGCAGGTGCCTATAGTCCCAGCTACTTGGGAGGCTGAGGCAAGAGAATTGCTTAAGCCCAAGAGTTGGAGGTTGCTGTGAGCTGTGACACCACAGCACTCTACTGAGGGTGACATAATAAGACTCTGTCTCAAAAAAAAAGAAAAAAAAAACCTCAAAGGATTTAGAATATTACATCAAGTTAGTGGTTGGGTTTGCAAGGATTGACTCTAATTTTGAAAGAAATTCTACTGTAAGTAAAATGCTATCAAACATCATCGCATGCTACAGAGAAGTCTTTTGTAAAAAGAGTCAATTGATGTATAAATTTCATTGGTGTCTTATTTTAAGAAATTGCCACAACTTCAGCAGCCACCGTCCTGACCAGTGAGTAGCCATGAACCCTGACTGAGCCATGTCTATGGCTGCTAATCCATCCACCAGTGAAAAGATTATGACTC